GGCTGGAACGAAAAAAAAAAAAAAGGTGTTTCGGCCCCATGGTTGGGCCATGGCCGAGATGTCTCTGCCACACCCCAGACTGGCCACGGCCGAGATGTCTCGGCCACACCCCAGATTGGCCGTGGCCCAGATATATCGGCCAAACCCCGGCGTGGTAAGTACATCATGCAACAAACATGCGGTCAAGGGAACACGGCCAATAGGCCTACAGCACAGCGTGACAAGACCAAGAAAGATGGCATATCCAAAGAGACACAGTCAGAAATAGGAGATTTGAGAGGAGAAGAAAAGAAATCAAAAGGAAGGAAAAACGACACATCATGACTTTTTTTTTTTTTAATTTTCTTTCTCTCTTTTTTTTTTTTTTTTTCGTTTTTTTTTTTTTTTTTTTTTTTTTTTTTTTTTTTTTTTTTCGTTCCACCCGCCCCACGGCGCGGCGCGGTGCGACCATACGACGGATTTAAAAAAATAAAAATAAAAAAATTTGCAGCTGCAGCGCGGCACGACACGACCGGGGAAAAAAAAAAAAGAAGAAGAAGACAAAAGTGCGTTTCGAACAGGCACCATGTGTTTAACGCGGGCCACTGTTATTATTGCCGTTTTGAACTACCGTCGGGACGGACCTGCGGACGACTGTTTTTTTTGCCCATTCAAAACGTGGGTTGTGAGTCTTGTGACCCACGAGCCGTTGCCCCTTAAAAAAAAAAAAAGCGTCCAGAGGACACTTATCACCCACCATGAGCCATCATGTAGGCAGCCAACAAGGTCTGAGAGATGATTTCAAGGGACAATGGGCCTCCCTGCACTACTCTTGAAATGCACAAAAGACAAAAATCATGGCCCTGTATCTGTCCATATTCTATGGGAAGATTCACTCTCGTTTTGCACATTTGGAGAGTAGTGCAGGGAGGCCCAATGTATGGTATGTAAAAGGTTAAGCTAGACGTAGGCTGTCAGGTAGGCTAGCAGCTAAGAATGCTGCGCAGTGCTGCCTACCAAACTTGGCTTTCGCAGATAAGGCCTTCTCCTGGCTACCATCACAACAGTTACTGCATTTTTGTTTAACAAAGCCAGCAGCTCCCTAGCATTTCAAACAGGGCACGGTTACCTCAGACATACTAGGGATAATGTGGTAGTGAGGTAGTATGGTAGTGGTAGCCGAACGGCGGGCTGGGATCAGACAGAGATTCACTGGTGCCCCCCAGTGGTCCTGCTGGGTTCCAACTCACGCCCTTGGGTTTGGGTAGAATAGATCAGTTAGCACATTTTGCAATGGGAC